TTTAGCTATACAACCCTTATTTTTCTGTATTTGTGTTATTACTTCGATAGAAATCTCAACAAATGCATACCAATTTAGAGATTTTTCTAATCCTTGTAAAAAAAATATATTTTTGAACTATTTTTTCTCGATGTGGACTGAAATTGGCGAGTACACTCTGAATAAAAATTCTCCTTTGAAAATTTAAAAACGTGGACAAGTCGTGAAAAGATGCTTTATTCGCGTTCAGAAAAAGACAATCATCACATTGAAAAGAAAAAAAAAAGAAATTCCAGAAAAATTTTCACGGAATCACTAAGATTATAGTTCTCTCAGAACTGAATTGATGCATAAGCAATCAAAAAACCACTGTAGGCTCTGCTATAGTCACTCTGGAAATTCAGCGTGACTTCATTTGAGTTGCTGTATATTATTTTCGACCGCAAGCCCGAAAGAGTCCTGAAAAAAAAAACATTTAAAAAATGAAAATTACTCTCTTCTCCAAATTCACGAGAAATTTGAAATAGGATACACTTACAAAAGCGTGCTTTCGTTTTCTGAAATGGTGACGACGTCGAAAGAAGGCTCGAGCCTGGCTCGAAGAACCCTCAGTGCGAATTTCGATCCAACAGGACCCGACAAGTTGTACACAATGTTTTGATTGTGTGGGTAAGCGAGTGGATGGTTTGGCGATGAAATGAAACCGTGGGTTTTTGAGGCACCCGGTTGAACCTTGGTGTGTAACTCGTTCACGTCGCCAGAGGTCGTGATTTCTCCAGTTTCCGTGTTGATGTTGATCACTTCAGTGAAACTCGTTTCATAAATGCCAGGACCGCTTTTGTTTTCCACCTCAATTTCTCCATCTGTGAAAAATAAAATATCCAAATTTAATTGAGTTCAAAACAAATTCCTCCGTAAAATGGCACCCTTCTATTTCAAAGTAAAAATTCAGGAAATTAAACAGTTTCTAGTCATAAGACAGTCATCAATTGATTGACAAAAAAATTTAATGCTGATGCTTTTGAATTTGTATGAATACCGAATTTCATGCGTATGCAGGATTTCAAATGGTACAATATCGTAAAACGGCGAAGGAAAACATTTTGCTGTTGTTTTTAAATTGCTTAAATTTGATTTTGATAAGGATTTTCTCGCCATCTCCAAACTCCCTGTGGCCGCGTTAATATTTTCGGGAAATGCATTTTTCAAAAATGGAAATCATTTCAACTGCTATTTATTTTCATTTACTGAATTATTGAATGCCACAGGATCTCTTGAATTTAAAAAAAAACTCTTGATCGAAAGGCATTTTTATAAAGAAGTTATTTCAAATTTCCCACCTGCAGTTGAGCCTGAAAAAATGTTTCGAGCCTCATTAAATACGAAACAGTATTTGGTAACCGTGCTTTTCCTCACTTGAAGTATCTTTCGTTTGTGATTCACTTTGACTTGATCCTGCTCATTTTCGATTATCGAAAAACGTGTTCATCAAAACATTCAAGACCGCAAAATTTCCACAGAGCTTTTTCCCATTTTCCTGATAATTTCGCCGGAAAATACCTACCAAAGATGCATCTGCATATTGGAAATTTAGTGACGAACTTATGTTTATTTTCAAATTTTCTCGAGTTTAAGAAAATGAAAAAGTTTCTTCCTGTAAAACGGGCATAATTTTCATTAAAAAACAATTTTGGTGTAATTGCATGCTTATATGAATAAAAAATTTGATGGAAGCTCAGTTCACTTGGTGAATTTGGCTGATTTTTGGAGATGTAGCAACACAAGTATTTTTATAATGAAATTCTCGATGTTTTCATAATAATTGCGACATAAATTCACTCACGGAACCATTCGTAAGGCAATTCACTTGCATAAGCTGCCAAATAACCTCTGTCTCCTCCTGTCTCGTCACTTTGCAGAAAAACCGTGGCATCATTTGCTGCCATAAGTTCTGGCAAGAACAGGTCAAACGTTCCCGTGTACCTTTCCAGAGATCGTAATTTATAATCAAATCAAACCATAAATTGATGATTTTTTTTGCCAAATGACAATACTGTACTCACTGTTCGAACCATTCCTGGGCGGGTTCGTTGTCACGGAGTTCAACTTGAACATAGTCTCCTGAAATTGTTCTTAGTTGCAGAAAACCTAGCCTTACAGAGTCAATTTCAGTGCCTCTGACAACTAGGTCATATCCACAGTCTCCAGGTTGCACAGAGTTGGGGTATTTATTTGGGTACCCCGGACTGGATATGAATCCGTGGTCAGAAGTGGTAGTCAGCACGATTTCCTCTGAATAAATATATTCAGATATTATAAATGTATAAATGTGTTCCAATTTTTATTCTTTTACTGTACAAAAGTGTGTTTAAAATATTTTTGATCCACTACGAAAATGTTGCTGCTTGACCCCTGAAGGAAAATTGTAATGAAGAAATTATTCATCATATACAGTATATGCATAAAACAATCGGAAATCCTAGAAAATGGCATAAATGTACATTGATGGTTTGAATTTATGTTTGCCGATTAGGCTCTGATGCAGTATGCGGGGTTTTGCGACAGCTATTTTTTTTTACAAAATTTGATAACCTCTTAAGCTGGCAGTGTTTGAATGGAAGTTTTATATACAGTATATGTACACATGCTGTAGTTGAACATCACAGTGATAAAGCAACCCAATAAAGAGATGTTTTATGAGATATGGGTGAGTTCTCTCAAAATAATATTGAATGACAACAGTTTATTTTCAAATGTTGAAAAATTTTTCAGGGAAAGCATAACTTTTACTGCTGCTCATACCAATTCCATAATTTAAAGGTAAATTCTGGAGGAACATTGTGCTTATTATTATTGCTGCATCAGTTGAATGTTTTTCAACAAAACTCGTCATGTGTAGGACATGCAGAAAAATAAAAGAATACCCAGCACCAACCCTGTGCACAAATTTGTGACAACAACAAATGTGTATTATTGCTGCCAACTCAGCATGCATTCCTGAAATTCCCATCAAATTTCTGCCAAAAAATGTTTTTGATTCCAAAATTACCCTCCGCTCAACATCTGGTTTCTGTAGTGTAGTGGTTATCACGTGCGCCTCACACGCGCAAGGTCCCCGGTTCGACCCCGGGCAGAAACAGTTTTTTTTCCTATTTAAAAACAAAGCGACTAACATTGGATGCTATGTTCTGGAGTTGGTATCCGTGAAATGCATCGCCTTATCATTTTTGTACTTGAAAAAAAAAAAATCGCTCAGAAGGTGGAATCGAATCACTGGCTTTCGTCACCTGCAGGTTTGAAGCCTGCACTCCGGAGTCCGGACCACCGAAGTTCATCATCTGAGCTGATCTAGGGGTCTCACTGTAATTGCTTCAACAAATGAATGGACCGTTACGAAAATTTTCGAAGTGGCCAATATTGAGTGTCTCAGAAAACTGCGAATGCCGTACATTCAAATTTAGGTTCAAAAACCTCGTTGAAAATAATAAATAGTGTTCGTTTGAACTTCTCATCGGCCATCAAAGGTTCAAGGCTCACGTGACCCTTTGAAACCCGTGATGCTTCGAAAGTCCAGGGAAACATTTATTTAACCATTTCATGAAGGAAAAAAATTAGCACGTATTTTAATTTTTTTTTAAATCTGAACCGTAACCAAAACCCTGTTCGAAAAATGTTAGGAGTTCCAATAGCTCGTGATTATATCCTTCCGATAAAGAAACCACTCTTACCTTTGCCACCACAAACTTCTCTGCTCTCTGCTGTTTTCAAGGGACTCTGAAAGAAATCACCCAAATTAAACATCTGTCAAAACTTTCACTCATAAAATATATTTTACGAAAATATAAACAAAAATCGTTATACAGGAAAATCGGCGTATATGAGCTTCGTAATCAAGTTCTTTTTCCACTGTTTTTTTTAGCCTAATTTTCTCACCTGATTTAAACTCTGAAAAACATTCCCTCACCTCATTTGGCAAAGACGTGACAACAGCAGATCCGAAATAGAAGATAATTGCTAGGTACTTCATTGTTATAGTGTCAGATAAACAGAAATGCTTTCTCCGAATGAATTTTTAAGCTTCGAAACAAATACTTTTTCCCAAAGCTTCTTCACCGTTAAATATACTTTGGATCGCTTTTGTTCTTGCCAATAACTCCAAATGACTAAAACCTGGAAATTTTTTTTTCATAAATGCCGTAGTGTGGAAAATGTTGCTGATAAACTTGGGTTACGAAGATAATTTTCCTAATTCTCCGGATTGTTGCTAAAATCGTGACCGAGCATTTTTCTTAATTTCTTGCCTTATATTGCAAAAATTGTAAATGACGCTGTCGACCTCGTATTTTTTGCCGGCAAACACTTCGCGGTTTTTTTTTGTTTGGATAAATTACAAATTAAAATCCCAAAAGGTATCGGGTGCCTTCCCACCAATTTGATTGACAAAAAATCCTTTATATTAAACAAATAAACGGTTCATAATTTTCCAAGTTCTTTTATTTGTACTTCATGTTTCGTCGCTCTCTATAAGAAGAAAGTATGCATGATGTTAAAGAAGAAAAAATTGACGAGAATAAATTTTTCTATCCATCAGCAGCACGGAAATCCAAAATTTTGTGTACCAACCTCAGATGTTGTGTACGTTCAAGTTTTTCAGTGCTTCAAGTCACTGTTCCAATCAAAAGTGACACATATTCATGCCATCCGCCCCCCCCCAATTTTAGAAGCTTGAATAAGTGAAAATATTTTATTCTATTTCTGTTGCCACCTATGTTAAATGACTTCATTATATTTTCAGCAGTGCGATATATTCTGCGCAGATTTGCTACACTCATTTGTTCGCACAGTCTTTTGCGCTCCTTTTTTTGTGCATAAAATTTGACATAATTGACTAAAGAAAGAACGTGTACATTTCGAAGTAGTTGTTACCGTTTATCCTATACACTAAAGTCATTAAAGATTGTTATTTGACCTCGTGAAAACTGCGCATAAAATTGTCCGTAGCGAAAAAGGACACACGGAGCGGTAGTGAAATATCTTTTTTATTATGTTTTTATCATAAATCAACAAAGCATCACATTCGAAAGAAGAAAAAAATTGAAGAAAAATTGGGAAATCGCAGAGTGATTCGCTCATGTCTGAACTGTCGCATACGCAATCAAGAAACCACTGTGGGAATTGCTGAAATCACTGCGGAAGTTTACAGCGACTTCGTTAGTGTCGCTGTAGAGTATTTTTGACCGCAAGCCCGTAAGAGTCCTGAAAAAAAAACATTTAAAAATGAGCATTACTTTATTTTGAAATATCATGGAAAATTTGCGGCGGGAAAAAACTTACAGAAGCGTGCTTCCGTTTTCGGAAACGATGACATAGTCGTAATTGGGCTCAAACTTAGCACGAAGAACTCTCAGTGCGAATTTGGATCCAGCTGGACCCGACAAATTGAACACAATGTTTTCATTGTTTGGGTAAAATCCTGGATGATTCGGCGATGAAATGAAACCATAGGTTTTTGAGGCACCCGGTTGAACCTTGGCGTGTAACTCGTTCACGTCGCCAGAGGTCGTGATTTCTCCAGTTTCCGTGTTGATGTTGATCACTTCAGTGAAACTCGTTTCATAAATTCCAGGACCGCTTTTGTTATCCACCTCAATTTCTCCATCTGTGAAAAATAAAATATCCAAATTTAATTGAGTTCAAAACAAATTCCTCGGTAAAATGGCACCCTTCTATTTCAAAATAAAAATTCAAGAAACTAAACAGTTTCTAGTCATAAGTCGGTCATCTCTTGTTTGACAAAACAAAATTTAATGCTGATGCTTTTGAATTTGTTTGAGTGCCAAATTTCATGTATGTACCTAGGATTTCTCAGAGTACTGTATGATACAAAGAGATACAAAGATATTTTATCATTGGAAATCATCAAGAACTTCATAATGAAACTCATTCAAACTTAATGTCAAGCCCTTACAGGCTCTTCTGATGGGTGAAGGCATACATAGAGGTAGGGAAGAACCAAGAAAAAGAATAATGGACAATGAGCTGCATAAGTGCTTTCAGTTGGCCTCATAAGTATGTCCAGTACTCCTTCCATTATTCCAAGGACCAGATAAATTATAAAGAAGGCAATACAGTGGAACACCTCTTCTCTTGAAACCTTTTTTTTCTGTCATTGTGCAGTTATGCCTTTCTCCCTCTGCCTGTCCTTCACTCTCAAAACTAAAGAATGTCCTAGAACACTGTTCCCCAACCTTTTTGGGCCCATAGACAGACAAATTTCCATAAAAGCTTAGGATCAGCAAAGTTCCCCAAAATGTTCTGCAAACAGGTAAAGTTTCATAAAATGTTTGCAGATGACTCAAAGGTTCCACTTGGAACCTGGAAGACTTTATGGCAGGCATTTAAAGAGTTCATGCTTTTTTGCAAAAAGTATGAACCTATGAAAAACAGCTACATAGTGGAATGCCTTCAAAAAGTTAGAAAGGTGGGCTGGAAAAAAGGTTTCTCAGAAAGAAATAATTTAAATATTTCATTTCAGCAGGTTAAATTTGTCTGAGTGTCATTAGGAGGAAACTCAACTTTTATTTTTTCATCAGATAATTTCCACTGCTATAATCTTTCAGATTTTTCAGAGAAAAAATGACGGACGTCATTGCTAATTTTATATAAAACATTATGCACCACTGCAGCAGGCATTAGTGCAGTGACTTTTCAGTAGACTCCTGTTTAAGGAAACTCTGTTTCTTGTCCAGTCTCTGAGTTGTGTGTAATTGTGGTTATGTACAAAAAGTACTGTATATTGAAGACTATTTTTGTCTAAAAGGCAAAGACTTTCCAAGTTATTCCCTTTCACATCTCTCATCAAAGGAGATACATGAACTTTGAAGTTTTCAGACTGAAAAGAAATAAGGATAACAGGGAAGAAGAAAAACATCTGGTTGATATTTTTAATTCGTTTGAGTTAGATTTGAATAAAAATTTTCTTGAAACCTCCAAACTCTCTGGGACCACTTTTATCTTCCTCCTCCATTCTCCATATGCGTAAGAAATGAATATCTGAATTTGATTGAGTCCATATATAAGAAATTCCTCGGTGAAATGGAACCCTTATTTATACTTTCAAAATAAAAATTTGCATCAATAAGAAATTTAAAAGCTGTCTGTGAACCGGGCGTCATTTTCGACCCCCCAAAAACCCAATTTTTGCGTGATTGCTTGTTTTGCATGCAAATTTTGATGGAAACTCAGAAGTTCACTTGGTCTGCTTATCGAAAATCTTGCAACACTGGTATTTTTCTGATGAAATTCACGGCGTTTGCATAATATGTTAAATGCTAAATCACTCACGTAAAAAATCGTAAGGCAATTCAGCTGCATAAGCAGCCAAGTAACCTCTGTCTCCTCCAGCCTCGTCACTTTGCAGAAAAACCGTGGCATCGTTTGCTGCAGTAAGTTCTGGCAAGAACAGGTCAAACGTTCCCGTGTACCTTTCCAGAGATCATAATTCGTGTTCAAATCAAACCTTCAATTGATGATTTTTTCTTTGCCAAATGACAATACTCACTGGTCGAACCATTCTTGGGCGGGTTCGTTGTCACGGAGTTCAACTTGAACATAGTCTCCTGTAATGGTTCTTAGTTGTAGAAAACCTAGCCTAACAGAGTCAATTTCAGTGCCTCTGACAACTAGGTCATATCCACAGTCTCCAGGTGGCACAGAATTGGGGTAATTATTTGGATACCCTGGACTGGATATGAACCCATGATCAGCTACTTCAGTCAACACGATTTCCTCTGAATATGCAGACAACAGACCAGATGCAAATGATCAGATGATTCCACCTTCAGAATATTGTACAGTACAATGCAAATAATTTTTTTGACCCGTGGCGTGTCCATAAAAGTTACTTTGGGATTCCAAAATCAATTTTTCATTTAATGAACAAAATGTTTGCATGATGTTATCTACAAAATTTATTCCCAATTTTGGCAGGCTGAATCTTTCGAAGTACCGCGTTCATTCACCATTTATTAGTAAATCGGAATATTAGTATATAAGAAGCTGCTAAATTAAAACCATATCACTGATCAGAGAAATATTGAACCCCTTTTGCATAAATTAGACATACAGGATCTTTAAGAAACAGGTGTCACACACAATGCTAAGACTACTTGAACTAAGAAATTTGCTTAGTACTAAAACCAGAATTCCTTGGAGCAGGGAATTTCTGTGGAATTTCTCCCATTGCATAATTTTCATTTTGTTCTCTCAGATTTTGCCCATTTTAAGTTATTTGCCAAGTTTGCTCTGAAGCATTTGGATCTTTGTGCTTGAAATTGTTGTGTGAAATTTGGACTTGCCAATTTTGTTTAGCAAAATAATACAAGTTTTCTTTTTCTTTCTGGAAGTCCTACCAAGAACTTCCCTGCCAAGTTACCTGGCAGATATTGTTTGTCTGATTCATTCAGTTCTTCTTGTCTGCAATTATCATGCTAATTTATTATTGTCTTTGTTTGGATCTTATCTCACACAGGATCTGCTCTCACCTTTGCCACCACAAACTTCTCTGCTCTCCGCATTTCTTGCGAGACTCTGAAAGAAATTGCACAAAAAGTACTTCATTTATAGAACTTTCACCGGTAGTTGACTTTAAAGGGACATCAAACGCAAACACAGAGAAAAGTCGATGTGTGAACTTCGTTATCTTCAGTTTTTTTCTCCGACTGTCTATGTTTTCAACCGACTTTTTTTCAGTCAGATTTCAATAACGCTTTGAAAAAAATTTCACTTACCTCGCTGGAAAAAGCAGTGGCAATAACAGCAGACCCCAAACAGAAGATAATTGCAAGGTATTTCATTATGAGGTAAAAATCAATGGAATTGTATTCTCATATGCAACAGGAAAATACAGTATTAAAAAAAAATATTAGAAGACAACTGCGAAATAAATAAATGTCCTTAATCTTCTTTACTACTTTACTGCTAAAGTAAGTTAACTTTCCTTCTTGTGAGCTCTGAATGATTACACCTTGAAAACAGAGTGCGTTTTATAAGTACTGTTGTGGGAAAAATGTAGCTGATACTTCGTTGATGAAGATAATTTGCCGGATTCTTGTTCAAAGCGTGACGGCGCATTTTTCTTGCCTTAAAATGGTGCAAACGTTTAAATGACACTGTGAAATTTGCCCTTTTGCGAGGAAAGAAAGGGTAGGTTTTATTTTTTTAATTTCAAAATTAAA